CATTTACACTTTGTAGCTTCACATTCATCGTCTCCATTTACATAGCCCACACGCTCCAAGTAACATCCTCTCCATTTACACTTTGTAACTTCACATTCATCCTATTTACCTAGATGACACACGCCAAGTAACATCCTCTTCATTTACATTGGACACACTCTGAGTAAATGACTTTGTAACTTCACTCCATTCTCATTTACACAGAGCACACACCAAGTAACCAAAGGGAAACCTCTAGAGTATCAAAACCCCAGAAAACTCTGTAATGGGGGCTCTTGAGCCCTGATGCTCAGGCCCACTTCCCACACTGTGGAGTGTACCTTCGTTTTTAATAAATCTCTGCTTTTGCTTTCCTTGCTTTGTTTGTGCATTTTGTCCAATTATTTGTTCAAGATGCCAAGAACCTGGATACCTTCCATCAGTAACCTCTGCCTGTCACCCAGTTCCAAAGTCGCTTCTACATTTTCAGGTATCTTTACAGCAGCACCCCACTCCAGGTACCAATTCACTGTATTAGTCTGTTCTCGTGATGCTAATCAAGACATACCCAAGACGGGGTAATTTATAAAGGAAAGAGGCTACTGACTCATAGTTCCACATGGCTATTCACAATTCACAATCATGGCGGAAGGTAAAGGAGGAGCAAAGTCACATCTTACACGGCAGCAGGCAAAAAGTGCGTGTGCAGGGGAACTCCACCATCAGATCTCATGAGACTTATTTACTACCACGAGAACAGTATGGGGAAAACTGCCCCTATGATTCGATTATCTCCACCTGGCCCTGCCCTTGACACTTGGGGTTTATTACAATTCCAAATGAGATTTGGATGGGGACACAGCCAAACCATATCACCAGGTAACCCCTTGTAATTGACTGAGGCTGCTCCCTACTCCAGGCCCCTCCCACTATCGATTTTGCTGTGGAGAACAAGGAGGAGCCTAGTAAGGGGACCGAATCTTCCCGTAACATTGGGAAGCCCTGTAGTAGTCGAGGTAACCAGTCAGGAGGGGCTCCAACTTTGGGGGGAACTTCATTCTGGAAAACCAGCCCTGACCACCTACAAAGCCCTAAAGAGGCAAAGAATGGTGTAAGCCCAGCAGAAAGCCAGCCAGGCCCTGGGCATGGAGCCTTCGATCTGTCTTCTCTGGTGACGTGCTTCCTCAAGCCACAAGGCTGAATGATACATAAACGCCCATGTCCCCAAAGATCCAAGCACTTCCCATTCTACTGGCTCTTCTGGCATTCCTGTGAAGTAAGCAGAAGGCCGGGTGTGACCATCTCTTTTCCCCTTTCAGATGACAAAACTGATCGTTTCCTTCCTGCACTTTAGGTGTGCACAGACACAGACAGGTCTGCAGCAGGTGAAGCTTACTCAAGCTAGAGTGCAGTGGTGCCATCATAGCCCACTGAAGCCTCCAATTCCTGGCTCAAGCAATCCTCCTGCCCTGGCCTCCTGAGTAACTGGGACTGCAAGTGAGTGCCACCAAATCCAGCTAATTTTTTAAAAAATATATAAATGTGGTCTTGATTTGTTTTCCAGGCTGCTCTTGAATGCCTGGCCTCAAGCAATCCTCCTGTCTTGGCCTCCCAGAGTGCTGGGATTTCAGGTGTGAGCCACTATATCCAGCCCAGCTTTAGACTTTTAAAGAAATTTTAATAGTATTTTACACCACAGTGATTCCTTTTTTAAAAAAGAAATTTATGTCCCTAGCGTGTAAAGTAAATATCACAGTGATTCCTAAAGAATTCTTCCCTTTTATCACTTCCAGTAGGGCTATGTGAAACCAAATCTACCTCTGCTTCCAAGAAAGATGCCGGGCTGGCCTTCTCTCAAAGTCTTTCCAAACTTTTCTTGGCATTGACTTAGACACCCTAGGAATCTGACTTGAGAAAATTTTTTCATTAAAGAAAATCTCTCAGGAAGTAAAACCTCCTAAATGATTACTGAGTTGACATAAATCTTATGTATATATTCTTATCAGAAAAAAAATCTTCATTTTGTGGGACACCAATTTATTTATTATTATTATTATTTTTTTTTTTTTGAGACAAAGTTTCGCTCTTGTTGCCCAGGCTGGAGTGCAATGGCGTGATCTCAGCTTACTGCAACCTCCGCCTCCTGGGTTCAAGTGATTCTTGTGCCTCAGCCTCCCTAGTAGCTGGAACTACAGGCATGTGCCATCACACCCAGCTAATTTTTTGTTACTTTAGTAGAGATGGGGTTTCACCATGTTGGCCAGGCTGGTCTCGAACTCCTGACCTCAGGTGATCTGCCCGCCTCAACCTCCCAAAGTGCTGGGATTACAGGCATGAGCCACCGTGCCCAGCCATGGGACACCAATTTATGTTTTAAGTCACTAAAATTATACAAGCTGACCAGGAATGGTATCTCACACCTGTAATCTCAGTACTTTGAGAAGCCAAGGAAGGCAGATAGCATGAGTTTAGGAGTTCAAGACCAGCCTGGGCAGCATGGCAAGACCCCATCTCTAGAAGATATTTTTTATATATATTCAGAGGATATATTATATATAATATATATTCAGAGAATTATTTTATATATATATGTGTGTGTGTGTGTGTGTGTGTGTGTATATATATTCAGATGATTCACCAGACATGCATTACTGGGTAAAGGAGAAGATCAAGGTCAAGAACAGGGGTCCCCAAACCCCATGCCAAGGACCAGTACCTGTCTGCAGCCTGTTCGAAACTGGGCCATGCAGCAGGAGGTGAGTGGTGGGTGAGCATTACTGCCTGAGCTCTGACTCCTGTCAGATCAGCACCAACATTAGATTCTTATAGCTGTGAGAACCCTATTGCAAACTGCACATGTGAGGGATCCAGCTTGTATGAAAATCTAATGCCTGATGATCTGAGGTGGAACAGTGTCATCCTGAAACCATTCCCCTCATCTGTGGAGAAATTGTTTTCCACCCGTTCCTGGTGCCAAAATGGTTGGGGGACCACTGGTCAAGAAGTTGAGTGCAACCTCCTGGTGGTGTGTGCCAATCACATTATCGTCCTCTGCCAGGTGGGCAGCAGCATGTTGGAGGAGTTGGGGTGAATTCCATTCACGCTCACTACGACAATAGGGTGCCTACATCATGGTTTTAACACTGGTCACTAGAAAACAAGTCTGTTTCCTCAAACTAAGTGGCTGCTCTTTGGCTTTCATTTCCTGACATCTAGAGGAACCAGACTCTATTAGCATGTCATAAGCCATAAACTGGAGAATACTTTTTTGTATTGCAGAGCACTTTGTCATACTGGGACTATAGATATAGCATATATATATATGCACAGCCACCTGGTACGGGATGATGTGATTGGCACACATCACCAGGAGGTTGCACTCAAACTTCTTGACAATCTTTTCTTTTACCTGGTAATGCATGTCTAATGCGTCCTCTGAATATAATTATAGCAGAGGATTAGTTGGATAGCTAATCAGTTTCTATAGATGGCAATCTTCTTGGTGGTCTCTTTGCATTTAATCTGAACTGTCAAAGAAAAAAAATATCTAGTTCTAGCAAGAGATTGTTAACTAAATGGAAGGCAGAGAAATTAAAAAGCTATCACTTTAAACTACTGGCAATTAAAGTGAGACACTCTCATTGTAAAATCTTTAGGCTGGGCGTGGTGGCTCATGCCTGTAATCCCAGCGCTTTGGGAGGCCAAGTAGGGCAGATCACCTGAGGTCAGGATTTTGAGACCAGCCTAGCCAACATGGTGAAACCCCATCTCTACTAAAAAATACAAAAGTAAGCTGGGCATAGTGACAGGTGCCTGTAATCCCATCTACTTGGGAGGCTGAGGCATGAGAATCACTTGAACCCAGGAGGCAGAGGTTGCAGTGAGCTGAGATTGTACCACTACACTCCAGCCTGGGCAACAAAGCAAAATTCCATCTTAGAAAAGAAAAGAAAAGAAAAGAAAAAAGAAAAGAAAAGAAAAGAAAAGAAAAGAAAAGAGGGAGGGAGGGAAGGAGGGAGGAAGGGAGGGAGGGAGGAACGAACGAACTCACTGTTACCATCACTTGCTGGATACAAATATAAACTCCTCTCCACAGCACTAGTGGCCCCTGGTGATCGGAAGCCTGCCTAAGTAACTGACCTCACCTCTGGCCGCTCCCTGCCCACCTCCTTGACAAACAGGAAAGACACGTTAATTTCTGGTACACACCAGGCTCTACACTCCCACTACAGACCAGGTGGAGAAAATGTCCCTAAGGGGGACACTGTGGAGCTGTCCAAGAGGCTTTGCCCCAGCCACCACAGCCAGAATCTTCAAAAACATATGGTCCTCCAGGGGGACCAAAGGACACTCATCTGAATCTACAAAAGAACCCCCCACCTGGATCCCTTGCAAAGGCACCCAGCAGTGCACTCAGGCCAGCACATCCAGATATGAATACACCTGGAGTAAGTGGATTCTGAGCCTATTTAACCAGCACAGCTACTTAAGTGGACAGAGGGAGAGACTGAGGTCTTAGGGCTTGGAATGACTATGCTAGGCCTGGAACCCTGATCTTCTGACTAAGCCTGTGCCAATCCAATTCCGCTGCTCATCTCTGGCAGAAGGACCCAGCAGGAGGCAAGTGGAGACTGGGCTGAGGGAGAAGCACCCCTGAGTGACTCTGACCAGAAAGGATAAAGGTCCACAAAGACCCGTGTAGGTCAACCACCTGGCTCCAACCTGTCATAAATCATCCTCCCTCACTCAAGAAATTCACGTACTCCTTGAAATTATGTGCAAAATTCTGAGTTGGTACATTTTTCAGAGAGGGTTTATTGCTTTCATGAAATCCTCAAGGAGATTGGCATCCCTAGTTCCCCCACCAAAAAAAAAAAAACCCCAAGACATAGACCCAGTGGCTAACATGTTTTCAAAAGGCCAAGGAGAAACCTTTCCTGTCATTTCAAGTGCCCTGTCACCAGCCCTTTCCATCTGCTTCCACCTGTCCCTCTTCCCAAGGTCTAGACCTGCTTCTCACCTTTCTGCTCAGTAATCAGGTGCTGCACAATGACGTCAGTCATGCTATCCCTGTAGGCATAGCGGTCCTTGTAGAGCCCATGGACTGTGCTGAAAATAAGCTGGTAGAAGGAAATGGTGCCGTCCTGGCAGCCGACCACCTGCAGGGTGACAGAACTGTCAATTCCCAGCTCTCTGGAGAGAGTCTGCACTCCCATTTGTCACACACAAACCCCAGTGATATGTCTCTCGAGACATGGCGGCTGCTCAGTGCCTCTTCAAGCCATGGCCCCACAGAACAAACTTCCTCTTCTTACCACATAGTTGGAATCCGGTTTCACTTGACACGTCCACACCCAGGAGTTCTGCTCCCCAACAGTCCCAAGCCGCACTCCATCCTTGGTGAAAACAGATACTTGCTTGTCTGAACCCCCCAGCAAAATGTACTCCCCTTTAGTAAAGTAGCTGATGCAGCAGGGGTCAAAGTTCAGTGCCCGATCCTTCCCAATCTGAGGAAAAAGAACACACACCAAGGGAAAAACCATTTCCGAATCCATAACCATTGCAATACAATTAAGGGCTTTTCTCGCCAACTTTAATGGAGGGAGTTGGGAAGACGGAGAGCTGACCAGTCTTTTCTCCTGTGTCATCCCACGGTGAACAGGGGCCTCTCTGCCTCTCCATCTCCCTACTCCCCAACCACACAGCCCAATCCTCAGCTCCTAGAGTCAGTGGCACCTCCCCTAGGCCCACCCAAGTGCTCCAGGAGTGCAGGAGCGTGTCAGGGCTCCTCAGCCAAGATGGAGACTGGATGGTTTGGCTCCCAAAGGCCTCCCTCCTCTGCACATATAGTTATTGCTGTGGCTCAATGGGTCCCCTCAGCTTCTTTTTTCCATCTCTTTTTAAAAAGTATTTTGCAGGCCGGCCGCGGTGGCTCTTGCCTGTAATCTCAGCACTTTGGGAGGCCGAGGCTGGCGGATCACAAGGTCAGGAGATTGAGACCACCCTGGTTAACACAGTGAAATCCCATCTCTACTAAAAAATACAAAAAAATTAGCCAGGCGAGGTGGCGGGCACCTGTGGTCCCAGCTGCTCGGGAGGCTGAGGCAGGAGAATGGTGTGAACCCGGGAGGCAGAGCTTGCAGTGAGCCGAGATTGCGCCACTGCACTCCAGCCTGGGTGACAGAACGAGACTCCATCTCAAAATAAATAAATAAATAAGTCTTTTACAAAGCTGATTTTATTCAGTTGAAAGATTGTCCTTTTTTCTGCAACTATGCCCATACTATTACTCTTTATAACAACTTTTTTGAGATGTAGTTCACATACTGTACAATTCACCCATTTAAAGTGTATGATTGCCAGGCACAGTGGCTCACACCTATAATCCCAGCACTTTGGGAGGCCGAGGCAGGTGGATCACTGGAGGTTAGGAGTTCGAGACCAACCTGGCCAACATGGTGAAACCCTGTCTCTACTAAACATACAAAAATTAGCTGGGTGTGGTGGTGGGTACCTGTAATCCCAGCTACTTGGGAGGCTGAGGCAGGACAATCGCTTAAACCCAGGAGGCGGAGGTTGCAGTGAGCCGACATCACACCATTGCACTGCAGCCTGGGTGACAAGAGTGAAACTCTGTCTAAAAAAAAAAGAAATAGTGTACATGTCTTTTAGTATAGTCACTGAATTGTGCAATCATCGTCACCATCTAATTCTAGAACTTTTCCATCACCCCAAAGTAAACCCCATTAGTAGTCTATCCCAATTCCTCCTTCTCTTCAGCCCTGGCAACGACTAACATACTTTCTGTCTCTAAGGATTTGCCTATTCTGGATAACTCATATAAATGGAGACATACAATATGTGGCCTTTTGTGTCTGGTTCATCCATGTTGTAGCATGTACTGGTACTTCCTTGTTTTTCATTGCTGAATAATATTCCATTGAATGACAGATGATATTTTATTTATCCATTCGTCAGTTGATGGACATTTGGTTTGTCTCTACATTTTGGCTATTATGAATAAGGCTGCTGTGATTATTCATGTACAAGTTTTTGTGTGGACATATGTTTTCATTTCTCCTGAGCATATACCTGAAAGTGGACTTGCTGGGCATATAGTAATTCTATGTTTAACATTTTGAGGAATTGCTATTCATTTCCAAAGTGACTGCACCATTTCATATTTGCACTAGCACTGTACGGAGATTCCCATTTCTCCGTCCTAGTGAGTGTGAAATGGTATCTCATTACAATTCCAGTTTGTATTTCCCTGATGGCTAATGATGTAGATCATCATTTCATGTGTTCATTGGCCAGAGAAATGTCTATTTGGATTCTTTACCCATTTTTCAATTGGGTTATTTGTCTTTATAGGTTTGTTGTTGTTGTTGAGACGGAGCCTTGCTCTGTCACCCAGGCTGGAGTGCAGTGGCATTATCACAGCTCACTGTAGTCTAGAACTCCTGGGCGCTCACATGATCGTCCCAGCTCAGCCTCTCGAGTAACTGGGACTACAGGCATGTGCCACCAGCCCTAGCTAATTATTTTATTTTTGTAGACACAGAGTCTTACTATGTTGCCTAGGCTGATCTTGAACTCCTGGGCTCAAGCAAATCTCCCGCCTCAGACTCCCAAAGTATTGGAATTACAGGTGTGAACCATAGTGCTCTGCCAATTTTCACAATAATCTTAAATGCAAAAGCTAAGCAAAACGAATTAAGAGTAACTTTAAAAACTAGGCAGTCTGGGAGGCAGTGGCTGCAGTGAGCCGTGAGATGGCGCCTTTGCATTACAGCCTAGGTGACAGAGGGAGACTCTGTCTAAAAAAAACAAAAAACAAAACAAAACAAACAAACAAAAAACAACTAGGCAGTAGCTCGTGCCTGTAATCCTAGCTACTCAGGAGGCTGAGGCGAGAGGATCGTTTGAGCCCAGGAGTTCGAGACCAGTCTGGGCAACAAAGTGAGACCTCATCTCCAAAAAATGAACAAACAAAAACTAGGCCATTTAGCATAATGGTTAGGGCATGGAGTTTGGAGTCAAGTCTCCAAATCTCACCTTCCACATATGCAAAATGGAGACATAATAGGGGTACGTTATAGAATTGTGGTAGGCATAGTGAACTCCATCGCATGTTAGCTATCATAGTTTCGTTACTATTTACTGTCTAAATTCGGTGAGGAAATTATTAGGAAGTCTCTGTCTTGTTCTCTTCTGACCACTAAGAGGCGCACTTCGGAGTAGAAGAAACGCGGGCGGAAATAGCCCAAAAGCGGATTGGCTTCAACTTCTGGCGGAAGTAAGTGCCTCTCTCCACCAGGTCTTATTAGCTCAGAAAGAATTCCAAATTTCTACGTAGACCCAAGGATAGGTAGAATACATTTTTCAGTCATATGCCTAGATATTACGGTCTATTAAAACATGTATACTCAGAATTTTTTGCGGCATTATTTTTTGACGTGTCTTTATTTTATTTGAAAGAGCCGAACCGGAAGTGCTTGCCTTTTCCCTGCCAGGACCCAGGGGGTTACGTCCCATCAGCCCTTGCGTGCCACTGTCCCTTCTCTCTTCCTCGGCGCTGCCTACGGAGGCGGCAGCCATCTCCTCCTCGGTAAGTCTTAATCCGTGGCCATCTGCATTCCTGCGGGATTCATCTGGCCCCATTGCCCAGTGGTGCGGGGGCCTCCCCTTCGGCGCGGTAGTGGCTGTGGGTATTGTTATTGTCAGCTTACTGGGGCGTGTACAGGAGCAGAACGAAGCAGCCCGGGTTGATGGGGCTTTGCGTCCCAGAGCCTCCGCTCTCCGCTTGTAGTCAGAGCTGCGGGCTGCTTGTTTGTTCCTTGGCGGTGGAGGGTGCTAGTTGAGCCCAGACTGCGGGTTCTCCTGTGGGCCGTGGGACGACCAGGGGTGTCCCAGCTTGACAGCCGTCAGCTGGGATCTGTGGATCCCAGCGCTCACCGATGTCGGCCCACGTGTATTCGTTCATTGCTATAGCCCGCTTCTTCGCTGCAGTCTCGGGCCCTAGGGCTGCTGCGGCTGCTGGTTCAGTTGCAGGCAGAAATTCTGGTAGTATCTCTGGAAATAAGATGCAGCTGCCCCCACCTTGCCTTCGAGGATATCATGGGCCAGAAGGCAAAGTCGTTTTGAATACGTGATTCACTGATTGCCCACTCTGTGCCAGTTGATGGCTGCGAACAGAAGGGTTGCTGCTGTAGGAAATAAATGAATGGCTCTGAAGACCACACTGAGGAAGGTGTGAGTTGATACTGCAAGATCTCCAGGTTTGAGGCATCCTTAGACGGATATGATGGTTTTGTGTGTGTTGAGGGTGTGGTAGCGCAGCAGCTCCCTAGGGAATTAGGTGGTTTTCTTTATTAAACGTTTACCCTGTGACAGGCACTGCAGGCATTCAGCGTGCAGTGTCATCTCTATTCTACAGGTGAGGAAACTGAGACTCAGGTCCAAGTAGATGGTCAAGGCCATCTCGGGGTTCGGACACTGGCGAGGTGGGATTTGCTGCCCCTTGCAAATTGAGTGTCTTGGGGTCGGTTTTGGTTTGCTCAGCTGTTGGCATTCTTTGGGCTCTGAGTGGTTGAGTTGACCTTTGACCTCCTGGGATCGCGTCTGGAGAGTGCCTAGTATTCTGCCAGCTTCGGAAAGGGAGGGAAAGCAAGCCTGGCAGAGGCACCCATTCCATTCCCAGCTTGCTCCGTAGCTGGCGATTGGAAGACACTCTGCGACAGTGTTCAATCGCTGGGTGGGAAAACCTCCTTCCAAGCCTCCTTCCAGGATTCTTCCTCACCTGGGGCTGCTTCTTTCCCAGAAGGCATCATGGCCGCCCTCAGACCCCTTGTGAAGCCCAAGATCGTCAAAAAAAGAACCAAGAAGTTCATCCGGCACCAGTCAGACCGATATGTCAAAATTAAGGTATGTGGTCCTGGGATGGAAATGGGTGTGGGGTGAAGAAAGAAGTTTCCAACAGGCTGTCGGTTTCTGACATCACCTAGTCAGGATTACCTTTGATCTATGAACTGGTTTGTGGAAGAGCTTTCTGTAGAAATACAGGTCTCCCCCAGTGTGCCCTAGTGCTGGTACTTAACATCTCTTGATGTGTTAAGTGAAATTTAAATGAAAAGGGACACTTGGCTATTTTGATGTGTTTAGAGGGCTTTGCATTTGTGTCGTGTATTTTGGGTTGCCTTATGACAGCAGGATCCCTATTTTATAGACAAGAAAACTCAGAGGTGCTGAGAGCCGTGTCTGCAGCTGTGCTCGCCATCTCAGTATCTACACAGTCCCCTCGCATCCCACTGGTGCCTCCTCCATTGCTTGGGAGTAGGAATGGTGGGGGTGCCTGCATTCCTAGTGGCTAAAGCCACGAGCTCCTGGTTTTTCCCACCAAAAAAGTAAGGAAATAGTGAAGTCCTGTCACCAAAGGCAGCTACTGTGTGGCATACTTCCTTTTCATCTGGTCCTTTTTCCCTCCCCAAAGGAACAGTTGGCACTCTGCACAGACGCTAACCCACCTGTGTGTTATTTCCTTCAGCGTAACTGGCGGAAACCCAGAGGCATTGACAACAGGGTTCGTAGAAGATTCAAGGGCCAGATCTTGATGCCCAACATTGGTTATGGGAGCAACAAAAAAACAAAGCACATGCTGCCCAGTGGCTTCCGGAAGTTCCTGGTCCACAACGTCAAGGAGCTGGAAGTGCTGCTGATGTGCAACAAGTGAGTTGGGTCCCACCTCTAGTTTTCAGGGATCCGAAGTTTGCATCTGTGTGAGCACTTCTGGCAGGAACTCTAGAAACTCTTGGGGGATGCATTTTGGCTGGGAGGGGTTGGTTGTACATTCTCTGAGGGAATCTGAAGTTGTTCCTTGCGGGATTTTAGAGAATGCTTGTTGGGGAGTAAAGAATTTGGGGAGTTCAAGGTGTTTCCTTTACCGGAGGGAGGAGGCTTGGTCTTCTAAGTGTAGAGACCCAAGACCAGGAAAAGACTGCTTTGTGAACACTGCAATAATAACCACTTTCCACTACTACAATACCCTTTGGCTGTTGTTTCCAGAACATTGCTTTCTTTATGAAGGTGTCAGCCAAAAGAGTTGAACTCTGAAATATTTGAAGAGATTTATTCTGAGCCAAATATGAGTTGACCATGGCCTGGGACACAGCCTTTGGGAGACCCTAAGAATATGGGTCCAAGGTGGGCAGGGAGCAGCTTGGTTTTACATATTTTAGGGAGACATGAGACATCAATCAAATACACTTAAGGCATACATTGGTTTAGTCCAGAAAGGCGGCAGTTCGAGGTTTTGAATAGATTTTCTGTTTCTCATCGGGAATTGGTTATCACTAGAAAGGAATGTCTTGGCTATGGTAAGAGGTTGTGGAAACCAAGAGTGCCCTATTCAAGGAGGGAGTGCATTCAGATGGTAGCTGGGGGCCTTTGAATTTTATTTTTGGCTTATAAGGAGGGTAGGGAGAAGATCAAACATGGACCTTAGGCCTTAAGGGGCCCTTTAGTCTGTGCTGTGGTAAGGGGTATCTTCAGGGACAGGAGGGCTTTAGAACCAAGTTTGGATTAGGTGGAGAACAGGAGGAAACTTGGCAGGCAGAGAGTGCTTACACAAAGGTGTAGAAGTGAAAGCGCATGGAGGGTTTGCAGGGCATTGGCTCTAGGTGGGTTTTATTGGTTTTTGTTTCTTTAAGATGGAGTCTCTTTTGCCGCGGCCGGAGTTCAGTGGCATGACCTCGGCTCACTGCAACCTCCACCGCCCAGTTTCACGCGTTTCTCCTGCCTCAGCCTCCCATGTAGCTAGGATTACAGGCGTGCACCACCATACCTGATTAATTTTTGTATTTTTAGTAGAGGTGAGGTTTCACCATCTTGGCCAGGCTGGTTTTGAACTCGTGACCTTAAGTGTTCTGCCTGCCTTAGCCCCCCAAAATGCTGGGATTACAGGCATGAGCTACTGCACCTGGCCTGGTTTGATCTGAGAGAGACAGACGCATCTGTGTTGCCCTGGCTACAGTGCAGTGGCTATTCACAGCTGTGATCATGGCACACTGCAGCCCCAAACTCAAGGTGGGCTCAAGCTGTCTCTTCCCATCTGAGCCTTCCTGGTAGCTAGGACCACAGGCATGCTCCACCACACCCAGCTAGTTCTAGGTGTTTTGAGTAAGACACACACTTGATGAGCTCTGTGTATAAGAGACTTGGTGACCTGCTTAGACCAAAACTAGGGCAGTGGAATGAAAAATTCTCATGGGAAGTGACAGTTTATTTTCTTCACTTACTGGTAAATGAAAGCCAAAAAGCTGAATTTTCCTAAGTAAACTAGAAAGAACATGGAGTGTGTGTGAGTAACTAGGATGTTTGTGTTTATGTTTACAAAGATCTTTTATCTACAGTGGTTGTAGATATAAGTAATAAAAATGAACAAGAGCAGTATTCTAACGTGGTTACCTTCCAAGGCTGGAAATTTAACCAGGCGTTGAAATGCTGAAAATTTCTGTTAGAAAAAGATGAGCATAGGAATTAATGGTGGACACTGAAACCACAGTTGAACTGTAACAGGCCAACATGATTACTCAGTTGCAGTGCACATGTTGGCTGGTTGCCATATGCTCTGTAAGTGCAGCTTGGCAGTCTTTTTAAGATCCTTGGAAATACTCTGTTATCTCTGACCTTTGATCTCTAAGTTCCATTTCTGGGCATTTGTCCTTAAGGAATGGAAAAGCAGGGAAACAAAAGCTAGTCATTGCAGCAGTACAACTGGAAACAACTGAAAATATAATGAGAGAATTGTAGAGTGCTGGATAGAATGTTGTGAGTCTATTCAAAATGATTGGCCTGTTGTAGTATGGAAAATGCCCAAGCTAGGGGGACACATTTAAAATGGTGGGTACACTCTGTAATTATCAAATATGTAGATGGACAAGGACAGGAGAGTTTTTTGAAAAGAACAGATGAGAAGTGTAATATAAACCTAAGCCTTTGAAACATAGAAACATTTAAAAATATAGTTGCTTTGAATTTGAGTGGACTAATGTAAAACAAGAATTGTCTGGATTTGCTGTCTTGCTGTTAAGGCAGGGTTCTTGAAAAGAGCTGTGTGTCCACTGCCTCATTAATCACTCCTCACAGTCCTGCTGCTTCTCTCTTTGCTGAAAATGCTTCAGGGGTGGAATGTCTGTTCTTAACCCACTGTGGGTGGCTTCATAAATCACCTCCTTACTGAAGTGTGCTTGTTAGGCCAATTGGTTATCAAATGGGGCACAGTGTGGCTGCCTCTTAAAAAGTCGTAAGGAATGAGTTAGAACTGGATCTGGCACACCACGTCCTCAGGTATTAGGCATGGCTATGACTGGGTGACTTTAAGCATTGTTGCTTCTATTTGCTTTGTAACCTCAGTGGTCAAACTGGGTGCTCTTGGCTCCATTCAGACTCTTGGGTTCTGCTCTTGACCACTTTGAAGAGTTCTGAAACTTCATGGGCAAGGTAAAGCACCCTGCGACTGGGGGAGAACCATTGAACCTGGAGCGTGGGCCTGGGTTCACCCTGGATCCCTGTCCATTGCTTGCGGTGGGCCTTGGTTTCCTTATCTGTAAAATGGAGGTAATGCCTGGATTACAAGGCTGCTGTAAGGATTAGATGAGAGGGAACAGTGAGGATACTTTGTACATGAAAGTGTTCTTGTCATCACCAGGGAACCATAGACTCGGGACATGTAGGTGTCATTCCACAGCCACATACCAAGCAGCCCTCTCTTAGCTTGGTGCTGGAACTATCTGCCTTCTTAATGGAATTTTCCAAGTGTGTTCAGGGCTGTCTTGCTCCTTACCTACTTGATTCTCTTACAGATCTTACTGTGCCGAGATTGCTCACAATGTTTCTTCCAAGAACCGCAAAGCCATCGTGGAAAGAGCTGCCCAGCTGGCCATCAGAGTCACCAACCCCAACGCCAGGCTGCGCAGTGAAGAAAATGAGTAGACAGCTCATGTGCACGTTTTCTGTTTAAATAAATGTAAAAACTGCCATCTGGCATCTTCCTTCCTTGGTTTTAGGTCTTCAGCTTCTTGGCTAACTTAGTTTGTCACAGAGATCGTTCTTTTGCTTAAACCCCTTTGGCATCTCCCACTTGGAGGGGATTTGTAAAGGACACTCGGTCCTTGAACAGGGGAACGTGGCCTCAAGTGCACAGTTGAGGCTGGGGATGAGGGGCACAGACTTGGTAGGTTGTAAGACACTTGGAGAAGCTGTGGGTCCCAAGCCACAAGTGGTCATTCTTAACCTTGCTTTGTAAAGTTGGGTGACAAGTTATTCCGTGTGATGCTTGTGAGAATTGAGAAAATATGCATGGAAATACCCAGATGACTTTCTTAAACAGATTGTTATGGGATGCCTAAATTGCATCCTGTAACTTCTGTCCAGAAAGAACAGGATGATGTACAAATTGCTTTTCCAGGTAATCCATCACGGTTACTGGAAGAGCACTTTAAGTCTCCTGTAACCTTCCCACCAGCTGCTGCTTCAGGTATAATGTTACAGCAGTTTGCCAAGGCGGGGACCTAACTGGTGACAATTGAGCCTCTTGACTGGTACTCTTAGAATTTAGTGACACGTGGCCCCTAGATTTTTTTTTTTGGAGACAGGGTCTTGCTGTCACCCATGCTGAGAGTGCAGTGGCACACTCACTGCAGCCTTGACCTCCCCAGGCTCAGGTGATCTTCCCACCTCAGTCTTCCAAGTAGCTGGGACTACAGATGCACACCTCACCTGGGTAGTTTTTGAAGTTTTTTTGGTAGAGATGGTCTAGCCATGTTGCCTAGGCTCTTGAACTCCTGAGCCTCCCAAAGTACTGGGATTACAGGCACCTTACATAGTGTATATAGGTCATGAGGGATATGGGATGTGGTACTTACGAGATGGAAATGCTTACAGGATGTTTTTCAGTAACCATCCGGTCAACTTACCAGAAATGCTGCGCTGGTTATAACAAAGCTTCTCTAGGTCTAGTCTCATTCTAGTAGATAGGCATCTTACAGATTGTCTCCTGTTCAAAACCTAGTCATAAATATTTATAATGTAAACTGGTCATTTTGGGGATTTTTTTTTTTCCCTGGAGACTGTCATGCTGTCACTCCGGCCGGAGTGCAGTGGCTTGATCTTGACTCACTGTAACTTCTGCTTCCTGGGTTCAGGCGACTCGATTCTCTTGAACCTCCTCAGTCTCCTGAAAGCTGGGACTACAGGCCTGCCACCGTACCCAGCTAATATTTTTAGTAGGGACAGGGTTTTGCCATGTTGGCCAGGCTGGTCTCAAACTCCTGACCTCAGGTGATCCGCCCGCCTCAGCTTCCCAAAGTGCTGGGATTACAGGCGTGAGGCACCGCACCCAGCCTCATTTTTGGGATTTCTTACAAATTGACAAGTGCATTCAAGATATTGGTCTAACAATTGGACACGAGTTGTGTAGAGAAAAGAAGTAACTTAGAATCTAATCTTTATTAACCTGGGATGTCACAGAAAATACTTGGGCCTGCCACTTGCATTTCTTTGTCCTCAATGCTAAACACTAGACACATTTGAAACCTTCCTCAGAAGGAAACAAACCAACTGGTTATGCCTGGGTGGTGGCATGGAAGATGTGTAATTCCTTGTTGCCCAATTTGCTAATAAGTATTTTGAAATTAGAAATGAAACGAGGTCCAAGCCTGTCCAGTTCCCTACCCAACCCATTTCTCCCTGGAAAAGAAACATATCATCCAAATTTCTGATTCATCGCTGCCACTTAGAAATGAACCGTTTTGAATTTTAAAATGTGAATGACCCAAGTATCTTTTCTTTTTGAGATGCCCGGCCTGAGCACTAACTTCAGGCATTGCTGAATGCAGTGAAGAAACCAGAGTGGTGTCTGTGGCCTCCTGACCTTTTACAGCTGACAGCACAGCCTATTTCTAAATGCTACTAGTTTGTGAGGCAGAGACACCCTCTGAAGGAACCAGACAGACTATGGAGGGATACAGTGTGAAGTCACTGGAAAACTTCCTCACCCTATTTCTTTGGATGACTGTCCTGAGTTACGGAAGGGGCCCAACTGTTGGCAGCCTCGCAGCTCGGGCTGGGGTCCTTTTGAGTTGGGTCCCTGGAGAAGGCACTGTAAGCCCTGACCAGGAGCGGCAGGGCCCCCAGTGAGATGGTGGAAGGGCAAAAGTAGAGACCTGCAGTGGGCAATGGGGAGGCCTTGGGCTTGGGTGGGCTCCTTTCTCTTAAGTGAGGGCCCACCTCGGTGCTGGGGGGACTAGCTGAGCTCCATTGAGTCTGTACTGGGGGCTGAAGTGGAATCCTTCTGGATGCTTTCAAAGAGGGCAGCGAGTTCAGGGTTGGATCTGATTTGGGAAGAGAAGTCGGCCATGATGGGGCTTTTCCCCACCTCGGGGATAGTCAGCAGGGCAGCCACTGCCCTCATCGCAGAGCGCTTCAGTTCATCTTGCTTTTCAAACTCCTGCTTCACGGAACCAGCTTTGACCTAAAGCAGGAAACAGCAGAAACAGCCATCCTTTATTGAGCCTGGCCCGCACCACTGCCTACTCACTGGTCTTTGGCTTCCTCTTTGCCCCATCATCTTACCCAACATAAATCCCTGCTGTGAGGTCTCCTAAGGCTTCTGTCTCACCAGCCATGTCCTAACTCCACCTTCGGGCTTTTACACTGGCTAGTTTCCCCACAGAGGTTCTTTGCCATTCAAATCAGCCTGAGGGGCCTCAGAGCAGCCAATCTAAAATGCTCACTTTTTGTTGATTGACAGTGGCAAGTACTGTGTTCCCATACTTACCTCCTACAGACTGCAGGGATCCAGCCTATACTGTGCTTAAAACCAGCTCTTAGCACCATATGACTAGACTGAATGAATGGATCACTGTGATGGTCTTCTAGCAGCCTCCTCCCTGCACTCAAGTCCCTGTCCAGCGATCCGTTCTACAGATGCAGCCTGAGAGTAAGCACCCCAAACTACCTCCTGCAGTTTGTTTCCTTTTCCCCCACCATCTCCCACTTAGGCAGAGGAGCTCAGCAGTTCCTCCATTGCTAATGGACTAAAGTTCAAATTCCTTATGCTGGGCTCTTCCTAAAGAATTCAATGCAGTGGATAACAGCTTGGCATTGGAGTTGCAGAGTCCTGCATTCAAATGGCTCTGCCAAGAGCTGTGACTTCAGGTAACTACATCTTTGAGCCTCATTTCCCCATCTGTAAGTAACAGCTGCCTCTTCATAAGAGTTGCCAAGAAGATTAAACAACTTGACACAAGTCCACACTCCCTTCTCTGAAACCCCTGGAGCCAGATGTGCTTTGGAATCCAGGACATTTTGGGTTTTAGAAAGGTAATACTGTGCAGATTACATTCCCGGGGGGTCTTGTACAATACCCTGTAATCAAATACATGAATACTCTACTACATGTATGAGTACTGTGCGTAGTAAGGTGTCCCTTAGTATCCATGGGAGTTTGGTTCCAGGATCCCATTGGATGCCAAAATCCTCAGATGTTCAAGTCCCTTACATAAAAGTGGTACATTGGCGAGAATTAAAGATCATAGCCTCATGCCACTTCAAGTCAAGTTTTGTGACAAACAGGTTCCTAAAAAGCTTTTGGTTGTCAGAGCTTGGTAGATTCAGAATCATGGGTAAGGACTGTGGGTGTGGATGTATCCACGCTCATCCCAATGCCCAACAGACAGCATCCTCCGCATGGCCAGATGAGTGGCTCTTGTAGAAACTCAGAGTCAGAGCAGAGCTTCTCTTGCCACCTCGGCCTACTGCAAGAATGTTCTGGCACTGCAGTGCCATATATACCTCCCCTCTTAAGAACTGGGACTTTTTGCCGGGTGCAGTGGCTCACGCCTGTAATCCCAGCACTTTGGGAGGCCGAGGTGGGTGGATCACAAGGTCAGGAAATCAAGACCATTCTGGCTAACACGGTGAAACCCCGTCTTTACTAAAAATACAAAAAATTAGCTGGGCATGGTGGCAGGTGCCTGTAGTCCCAGCTACTCGGGAGGCTGAGGCAGGAGAATGGCGTGAACCCAGGAGGCAGGCGGAGGTGGCAGTGAGCCGAGATTGCGCCACTGCACTCCAGCCTGGGCAACAGAGCCAGAACTGGGACTTTCCTTGGTGCCATAAAGCTCAGAGAAAACTAGAAATGATTTGGCCACAGAGACTGTCAAAACTGGCCTGGCCCTGTAGAAGCATTTTTTTGGATTGACTCAATAGTAAGCATATGTTAAAAATGTAAACTTACGGCCGGGCGCGGTGGCTCAAGCCTGTAATCCCAGCACTTTGGGAGGCCGAGACGGGCGGATCACAAGGTCAGGAGATCGAGACCATCCTGGCTGACACGGTGAAACCCCGTCTCTACTAAAAAATACAAAAAAACTAGCCGGGCGAGGTGGCGGGCGCCTGTAGTCCCAGCTACTCGGGAGGCTGAGGCAGGAGAATGGCGCAAACCCGGGAGGCAGAGCTTGCAGTGAGCCGAGATCTGGCCACTGCACTCCAGCCTGGGTGGCAGAGCGAGACTCCGTCTCAAAAAAAAAAAAAAAAATGTAAACTTACAAGGCAGGTCTCTATGAATAAACTACCAATTTTAATGTTTTATCCACAAAAGATTTCATTTTTGAAAATCATCACTCTATGAGTATCTCTCCTCTTTAAGCGCCAATCTAAAACACTGCTCTCCTTTTGGTAATGATTCCCATTCTTAAAAAACCCAGATGTATTCTTCCATTCAACAGGTATTTACTAGGTACCACCTAGAGCATAGATGCCAGGCTCTGCTCCCAGCACCAGCTTTCCATGAGAGCTTCCACTCCAGATCCCTCCTCCAGACCCTTCAGGCACTCCAGTCTAGCGGCAGCTTTGCCCTAGATCAATCACCTGACCCAGCTTCCCAACAAGGAGGTGAGAGATTGACAGTAGGGAACCTATCAGGCTCAATGTTATATCTTTAGTATCTCCCATGAGGCTCAGCACCTAGGAAGTGTTTAATGAATGGAAGAAGA